TGAACAACCTACTACTTATCCTGCTTGGTTAGAACTATTGGTATGTTGATTTCTCAAATTTTGTGCGATATTTTGGTGAATTTCTCAGCTTGTGCTTACAACCGTAACTGGTACAAAAATTAGTTACTGGCTTGCAGTTACCCTGATATGAATCCATTAGGTTCCATCGGCGCACACCCCACATATACCCAGGAACAAATAGCTGGAGTTAGACCAGCTGATGGGAGCTTCATGAGTAACGACTCTGCTGAGTACCTAAACGAAAGGTTTCAAACCATTGCAGCCATTATTCAACTTGATGTTTTTCTTCCAAGCGACAGAATTTGGATCTGGCGTCGGCTCAAGCCGCTATCCCAATCAAACCATTGGGCGACCTACCAGTCCACTAGGAGGATGGAGGCGGCCTTCACTCCGAACCAGATTGGAGCAAGCCATTTCGATCAGTTCCAGCTTCTCTCCACGAGCTACGTAGGCACTGGGTTCCAATATTGTTGCAAAATCAGTTAATTGATACACTTCAAGATGTTTTCAAGATGGGTGAGCGTAATCCACCATTTGATCAGTATGACCCTGATCCATTCAAAAAGAGTTTGTACATGTTTATTCCAAGCCATGGCATGATCCCTGATTGGTCAATCCGCCCGGATCAACCTATGCATTTGTCCATCACGACCTCACTTTCGAAGATCACGAACAACAAGGACATTACCCTCTTTCCCATGTTATTGGAAGGTGCTCCCACTGGCTTTGACAGCACTATTCCTTCTTCAGGATGTCTCCCCATTGCTTTGGACGAACCGGATGAAGCAATTTTCCTCTCCATCCATTCGCGCCATTGGCATTCAGCTGAATTAGATTTACCTATGATACGGGATCTTGTTGCACAAGAACTGGCGAAAGGATGAATCTACAGGTATCATGGCTCCTTGATCGATGCCCAGGCTGAATTTGGGGGACAAATTGGCGATAGGACGCCTAGACTTGGCTCTTGCTGACCACAGGCCTCCCAAGCTAGTTGTCGACTCATCAGTGCGCGGAGTCAACACATACCGCAAGACAGTTTTACCACGTAGCCCATTTTGGGACTACTTTCAGTGCATTTCATTGGACCAGATTGGGAAGCTTCCTTTCCATTGTGCAAGTTATCAACATTCCTATTTCCTGGTACAAAACTGTATTTAGTCCCAGCATCCAATGGATCGGATGGCAATTTCATGTTCCAGCCGGTTACATTAGCTTGCCCACCAACCAGATTGAAAAATTTTATTTTGAATTTTATTTTTCGATTCGGGGGTCCGTCCATCTTTCCGACAAATCATTGCAACATTGGTGGGCTTGCTCAACTGGGTCAAACAGATCTAGTTACTAACGAGATGTTGGCTTCCGGCCCAGTACAAAGACTTATATCCTATCCCGGCCAGCCACTATAGTATTGACCCGAACACATCGAAGTATGTGATTGATTTCCTTGCTGACAATTTGGTTTTCTTTTGAACCCCTATCGGTACTGGAATTCCGATGGGGAGCACTCTACTTGCCGTTCGCTATCAAGCGGTCCAGTGCAAAGCTGATCTTCATCAACTTTATTTGTTTGAGAATAGAAACTCATTCTGTCTTAGATTGACAATATCTTCTTCTTGACTTCACTCAGCTTCAATGGTGCAATGCTTGCGTCTTAATTCATTTTAGTCCAGTGAATGCGTTGCGAATGCAATGGCATCCACAGACCTTTGTCGAATTGGCGGATTTATCCAATTTCCTTCTGGTAATCCAATTTGGTTCAGTGATAACTTTGCTTCCCAGAACTTTTCCACCCTACTTATCCCAGTGACAATTGAACAGAGGCGGGACGTAATAAACTTGTCTCCTCGACTGTCCCACTGAACCATTTCCTGGAACGATTGACGGTGCTTTGCACAATTTCTGGTATGGAACTCAACTCATCCAACATTGCGAGCCCTCGCAACGAGGAAGCAGATGCGTTGAGTCGTTGGGATTTTGTTTCTGACACACCTTTTTAACCCTTCAGTTCATCACAGATTCCCATTGAGTTTATAACCATGTTGGCATTCGGAAACATCCATTTTATTGCCTCCAGCCGAGACCCTTTATTTTATCTTGGCAATTGCCCTGGTAACATTTTTTCCTCCCTTTTATCGACTGCCTGGTATCCAACACTGTTTTATTGGGCTTGTGTGTGGCGTTTGAATACCAACAGTCTGATAGGAACATGGGGGAATACGTGACCATCAGATGTTGTATTCAATTGTTTGGACAACTTGTCCAATGACCTTGTTTGGATCAAACTTTATGGCAGTCGAAAAAGGGAGAAGACCGTTCGGGATGCTTCAGACTTGCGGTAGCGTTTTTGGCGTGCGATCGTATCAGATGCTGTTTATGTTATATACATATATATTATTTATATGTATGCTACGTATATATATAAATAATATATATACATAAGATGGAAGCCGACTTGAGCCAGAACGTGTAGTGTACTTGTTCACTAATGTTTTGGGTTGGTTGGACTTCATCTTGGTATGATGTACCATTTTGGCTCAAGTTGGCTTTCATGTTACGTTGCTTTGTTTGTTTTTACCCTCCCTCCCACACCTTATGATAGAGGGAATATATTGTTGCTTTACTTCTTATTTTCCAACAGATCGCTTCTTCTCTCTGTTTTCGGTAGTCTCAACATTGGCTTTCACTGCGGCGCGTTTCACCTCTTCGGAATTTAACCTTCCAAGCTGACGATGTTCGAATGCATTCGAATATCTGCTTTCACCACTTGCGTTCACCACTTTGTTTCAATTTCAGCCTATGCTGAATCGTATCTTTCAGGATACGGCTTGGGTAACTACTCCCATGTCATTTCCACTCTGATGGGGGAATACGTGACCATCAGATGTTGTATTCAATTGTTTGGACAACTTGTCCAATGACCTTGTTTGGATCAAACTTTATGGCAGTCGAAAAAGGGAGAAGACCGTTCGGGATGCTTCAGACTTGCGGTAGCGTTTTTGGCGTGCGATCGTATCAGATGCTGTTTATGTTATATACATATATATTATTTATATGTATGCTACGTATATATATATATATAAATAATATATATACATAAGATGGAAGCCGACTTGAGCCAGAACGTTCGTCGCTATCGGCAACCGCGATATCCCATCACATTGGTGGATGATTGGGACCAATGGCCCAAGAACTTCGACAATACCGAACCCTACAAGGACCAGAGGATGCGGACCCTGGGGAGGAATACTTCAGAGAGACAGAGACAGGCTTTGAACGCTACGTGTGACCTCATTGATTTGTGCGGCATAGGCTGAACGTGGTGGAGATGGACCCCCTGGAATTTAGCATGCTGGAAGAACCCAACGAAGGCGAAGAAGAAGAAGAAGAAGAAAAATAATAATAAAAAAAAACAAACAAAAAGTCCAAGATGCTGAAGTTCAAGTGGAACTTGGCTCATTTCTTGGCCTGGCTTCACTACCATAAGCAAGTTCGGCTCCGCAACCTGCAGTGCATCGAGCGGAACCCGAAGCGCCATTGGAACCAGTGGTTCTACCTGGTTCACCGCCTCCAGAAACAGATGAGGAGGAACTTCCTGAGATTCCCCGAATTGGGATCAATTGGGAAGACATGGACCTCTTGATGGAGCAGTTGCCCAGAGGACAGCGACGCCGTGCTGAGAGGATTAGAGGAGTTTCACTCTTCGCAGAACAGTCCCTGAGAGAATTCCTGCTCGTGCACATGATGATTCTGTATCCGAATCAGCCGGGTTTGAACTATGATCTTCCTCATGGGTGGAGTCGCCAAGAACAACATGAGTACCAAGTGTTCCGTGACATCGTGGTTGATGGAAGGTGTCAAGATTGCTGGGGTAGCTTTTGTGAAAAATGGTTCATTCACAGTGACCATGGGCACCCAAGAAACTATGGTAACAATTGATGCACGGATGGTACATGTGCAAATTTTACCCTCATGACATTCGCCTAAAATCTGAGGCGGGATGTCAAACATTTCTGATAGTTCCATGTGTGTTCCATACATGTGCAGATGCAGTTGCACGAACCGAGAAGTGTAAGAAATGTAACATGCAGGCATGGACAAATCTTTGTTCATGAGCCCGTGACAAGTGGCTCAACTGGTAGCGCAGAGCAGGTGCTTCATGCTCATTGTGGCTGCCTAACAGGTTTTATAACATTTTCACACATGTAAATGTAATATCTTTGTTTTGCCTTCTCAGCCCTGATCTTAGCATGTAAACTGTTTACCGTAACTAACAAATCTAAACTGTTAACCGTAACTAACAACAAAACGCAAATCAGCACCGATTTGCCATACATATTTTTTGTTCTCGGGAGGTGTTTCCGACAATCCCCAAGCAGGAGATGGAATGAAACACTAATTGGTTCTGAGGTTGGAAACCAACTCTAAACAAATCAAATTGCGGTCAACAAACAAAATCAATCCAAAATTCGAGAGATCAATTGACAATTTCCAATGCGCAAAACAAATCCTTGTGATGATGGTAACAATTTCTTTTATGTTCTTTTCCGTTGGCACAATGCTGTTTTGGATGTTGAATTTGCTTCAGTCGCCGTTGTAGTTTGCTAATGGTGACTACATTTTTTTTTTGACACTGAAGGTTCGCAAATCTTCGTGACCCCGCAGCCATCACAGGGTACTTCGGACAAAACAAACAAGCGGCGATGCCTCATCCATGTTTGACTTGGTCAAAATATGTCGCAATTTGCCCTGATTAGGTTGGTGAATTGCTGGCAAGTGGCAAATGAAACAAATCTGATGTCGGGATTCCGAAGTGCTGTTCCATTGCTGTTGGTGCAATCGTCAAAGGTAGGCGCGTGAACATGCAATCAAACAATTGCACGCGGGCAAAAAATCAAACGTGTGGTCAACATCGGCTCGCCAAGTTTCCTGTCGATTCACCATGATTCACATGACTTCACACCTATCTCCAACGGCCGACATTTGAGACCCACCACGGCAGATTTGGCCAGTCATGCCGCGTGCTTTCAGCGCATGGGCAAAAGAGAAGGTTTCAAACACATTGCCCAAGTGCCACTTGATCAATGCATGGTCCGACAATCCGATTTTTGTATTTTTTTGCCAAATTCAAACATGTTCATTTTGTTTCTGACTTTGTATGTGGCTGCAGGTCCAAGACCTCATTGATACGTACATGTACTGAGATTGTTTGCGCATCAGTTTTGCTGTGATAAATAATCAATGTTTCTGTTTTTTGCATCCAACATATTCCATGGAGAGGACGTTGTAGGTTTTTTTTTGGATTGAATCGATGGGTCTATGGGTAACTATTTTGTATGTCCCTTTGAATATAGATGCCTTGATATACCTTTAATGGACATGATCAGCCCTGGTACAGGCACAATCATGTTGAATGGCAAAAATCCTAGTGCACAAATTCTGATGTGCATGTTGCACTTTCCATCATGGAAAATTGTTGTTTGCCAAGGTTTTTTGGTGGACAACACTGATCTGAAATCCAGCAGTTCTGGTCTGCGCTATCGAAAATCGCCGTTTTTCGGGGAAACGTCCAAATCCAAGCCTGCCTCTGTAGTTCATTGGAATTCTTTGGTCTATGGCGATTTGGATGCTGATGGCAACTGGTTGAAACTTCAGGAGACAGACTTTGCTGAGACCAACTTGTTGAACAGATGTTTGCAAAGGCTAAAGTCGAAACCAATCGTTTTTTGTGAAAGACACATCGTTTTTTTGCAGTTGAACTAAAACGGGTCCTAACGGGTCCTCAGCACCAAACTTGGAAGGACGGCCAGTACTTGCCAGTCTACTCTTCCAATGGAATCCGAGTCCTGCAACCCATCAAGGCCGCTGAGGAAACTTCTCCGGTAGCGACTGTGACGACTGTGACGGTGGGCTGTCTTCAAGTGCCCAGTCATCTTGAACGGCAAGGGATAGATGCGGATGCATTGATCGATGCTGGTCCTGGTGCTTTCTACCAGGCTTGTGGCTTGTGGCAATGCGATGTGTTGACAGAAACCATGAGACTGTTTAAAATCCGAAAAAAAAAGGTTGAAACATGTTGGAGCAGATGCAAGTAACAGGGAACACTTTCACTGGAACATTCTCATTGTATACAATTCATTCTTGTCTTAGAAAGTGTGGAGTGGTACTGTGATACATGGGAAGAGTGATGAAAAGTGGGAAGTGCCATCCATTGGGTTGCGGTGGCAGCTCCTTCTCAAAATCTCTCAGGAGGTTGGTAGTATTTAATCAAGAAGATGCCGATTTATTTTGGATTTATCTGAATAATACTTAGACAAGATAGACGTATGCAATGTGTGTAAGTATATATATATATAGACAACTAGCTAAGTAGCTAACTAGCTAACTAGCTGAGTAACCAACCATATACTTTATACATAGTGAAGACATGGACAAATAGATGCAGTAAATGAACACAAATAGATCTGGATAATTCTAGACCTGTGCAGGTGGTGGCTGAGCGTGTAGCACTGCGCAGCGGTCCTTCGCTTGGAGCTCCGGTGCTGGGCCAAGTGCCGCGGGGTGTCTCGCAACAAAGCGGAGCTGTGGAGCTGTGGAGCTGTGGAGATTCTGTTGATTTTTGAGGTTTTTGGACCCTTGATTTTCAAATGTTTTCACATATGAAAGACTATTTTCAAAGCTTAAGATCAAATTCCTGCAGACAGGGTGCGTACTTATACATGATCCAAAGCGAAAGTTGGTTGTCTTGGCCCTGCTTTCTTGTTGCAATTGCAGTTGATGAAAGGATACCATTTGTTTTCCTTCTATTTAACACAGATGATTAATTGAAGCACTTGAAATCTTCTTCTTCCTTGTCACCACGCTCTTTCAAAGGTCTGACAGCAACCGTTTTACTTGTTGCACTCCTGTTTGGGTTGTAAGTAGTGGCGATGGATCTCCTCCTTTCTTGCTGCAAGTAGGGGTAATCCTTTACCTACATTTTGTTATAGATTGTGGTGAAGGATGGTGAAGGACCTTTCCTATCTCGTTGTAAAGGTGTGGAATATCTATCTGGCCTATCTCGTCTTAGGCGCTTTTGGTGGACCTCCCATCTCGTTCTGATTCTGCTCCAGGTGGAGAGGTAGAGCTTTTCGGTTGGGATGAGACGCGGCAGTGGCGACGATGCGTGGATCATCGTTGCTTGGCATGCGACAGCCGGGACTAGAAGTGTAGTCATTCCAATGGAAGATGCAAGGCCACTCCAGTGGGAGAACACAACCATCAATTTTTTGTTATTTTTTGCAGAAGATAGAGAAATATTACGGAAAACTTTTCGGATACTTTTCGGCTTATTGCTGGTGGCTTATGGCCGTGTTAAGCCACGCTCTCCTGTACTTTGCGACCAGACATTCAAATACCAGTCCCTTGCATCGACATGCTCACGCTGCTAATGTGTCGTGTGTGACGGTTCCTCGTAGGTTGAGACCACATCAAAGCTTCACCTGTGAAACCAATTTGTTTCATTTCTGTACTGAGCTTTCAAAGAGACCTACAAGCAAGTGCTAGATAAGCTGCTTCGCAGATAAGACCCTTTTTTGGAAATCGATCGTATAGATGAAGAGGGCTTGCCATTGCCCATCGAAGGTAGATAACCACTACTCGGAGGAAAGTACAGAGTTTGAACCGAACCCTACCAAATGTCAGCTGAACAAAATCTTCAAATGTCGCCAGAGTTTGAAGATTTCTGAGATGACTTCGCTAGGCCTGTCGCGAAGCGGTTGGATTCTGTTGGATCATCCAGAGCTTGGACCAATGGCTGGAAGCCCAAGCCGTCAAAGCTTTCTGCAACCGGCAACCGGACAGAGAAATAGACGGAAGACAAGGTGAGGGACGCAGAATGACGCAGATCACAACAGCACAAAAGAATACAAAAGAGACTTCAAACTTTCAAATATTTTCCCAAAGAGAGGTGCGTCACTACTATTCAGATCTATTCAGATCTATTCAGATCTATTCAGTGGGCAGTGTAGATAGTGTAGATGGCAGCTTCCGAGCTGCGATGGCGATGAGGTCCGACCTTTGGGAGAGAAACTGTGCGTTCGTCCTTTGAACGTCATCGCAGTGGCAGCAGCAGAAGGCCGATTGCAGGACAATGTGAGCGAACCCGGAAGTGGAATCGCTTTACAGCAAGGTCTGAATGTGTCTTAATGCTAAAGTGTAAAGTACTAAAGTTATTTGACCATCTTGTCCACAAGGGGAAACGGGATGATTGAAATATTTCTGAAACCTCAAAGATTTGATCATCTCACACCATCCTGCAATGCACGTGCTTAGCCTGCAAGTATCATAAAGGACTCATGGACAGAGTACTCTGTGAACTTTCCGCGTTGAAGGACTTGGAAACTTTCCTCAAGAATTCAGAGGACGGGAACTGGGAGCTGAAAGTTCTAGGCTGTGTCACTGTGTGGATTTGTTGTTGTCTTCAATCCTTTATATATACTTTGGAAGAGTGAAACGAAAAAGTAGTGGACCGAACATCAGACATGCGCTCTTTTGGTTCATTTGAAGACTCTCTGCAGCCTTCTCCAGAATTTGAACCTTAGAACAACTTAGAACCTTAGAACCTTTCGCATCGATGTCCCGCCATCCTTGAGGAGTTGGATTTTTGGGATCCTCGAGGTTCAGCCCTGGTCCTGGCTGCTGAGCGTGGTCAGATCTCCAGCTGTTTGCGTCTGCTGCACGCGGGCGCCACGGCCACGGAGGCGGACCTGGCGATGGCGCGGATCGCCAAGGCCGAGATCGTGACGCTGTGCCAACTGCGACCTGAAGAGTTGGAGGAGTTGATGAACATTTCGAAAGTTGGAGAAGACGAAATGCAACAAATTTTAAGGAGGAAACATCGCGAAAGGGATGAGGATGTGAAAGCGAACTCAAAGGCATCGAACCTGTACGAAGTCTGCTATTCTTCGGTTTGGATTCGTCGAGAACCTCATGTTGAAGCAGCCCAAGTGAGCAAACGCATCAAAGGGCAGCAATTGAATATCGAGGACCGGTCTTTGGCCGGCATCCCGTTCCTAGGTTTAGGTTGAAATGTTGAAGATCAAAACAAAAAAGCTGGGTTTTCATCTCAAGCTGGTACCATTATTCAAACAAAGTGCATGCAGGTACTGCAAGAGAGGTTAATTAAATTTGGATCTGGTGTCTACACGGTGAAAACCCGAAATTCGTACCATTTTGGGGTTGCTTTGCAGTCATTGTCTCTGCCTCCTGTTCTCCCCTGCAAGGAGTTTGATGAGTCTGGCGAGTGGGGCCGTGTGGTCTTCAAGACCAGTGAGGGAATGGACGAAGGTGTGGCTTGACAGGGACGCTGAAAAGTAGAACCACCAGAAAGACAAAACGACCGAAACAGAAGAGATCGGACATCAGAAGACAAAGGGTACCTGTAGAGAGGAGATCGAAGGTCAGAGCCGATTGAACAAATTTACCGACCACATCAATGTGGAATTTTCCAGACCGTCATTTATTTTTGACACATCAACAGGTTCGATTTCACATCTTTCACATCTTTCACATCCACATATTCCAACCAGACTGGTGACATCCCAACAGGTTCGATGGTTCGATGTCACCAGTCGGGGACGTCCTGTGCCGTGTGCAGGATGGATGCTTATCACACATCCGGAGCTCGGTGCCTTACTGCGGCCGGTTGAGGACATGTCGAATCACACGGGAACAAAACATGAAAGGCTCATTCTCTTTTGATCTTTTGGATGTTTGACGTTTTATTGATATCTCTGATATCTCTGATATGACTGACAACACTCTTCTGCGACAAAATATGTAATTGCTGAAACAATTCTTCATACCTTCCGTGGTTAAGTACTCAGGCTCCCCATGTGGACAGTTGAACATCAAAGTTCCCTTCCCAGGACACTGAGAGCGTCCGTCCAGCTGGTTGAGTCGAGTTGTTCTCATCAAAGCACACCAAATCGTGGTGAGCTTTGCCATCGGAGTTTCGGGCAGACGAAGCCATCCGTCCAAACTCGAGCCAAGAAGTGCTCGAGCGAAGCGAGCAAAATGACAAGGGACATTTCGTCAACAGTCTATGAATGTTCTATGTTGACAAGGAAAACACATGAAAGGAAACGACCAGAGGAAAGCGAAGATTGCATCATATCACTTGCACCAGCTGAAATTTAAGACATCGAAAGCTAGATGCTCCAGGATGAAAGAGCGAACAAACAAACAACTTTTTTTCCAATTCACAATGTGCGCGTTTTGGTATGGCTTCAGGAACCTGAGGTAAGTACTCAGGAGGTTACGAGTTTGCTAGGTTCTTCGACGGAAGGGCCATGCTGTACTCTTCAATCAACAGGTAATCGGATGTCAGAAGCAGCACAGAAGTTTAAAATATGCGCATCCACATGCCGTGTTTCAGCACAGTAGATCCTTCAGTTGCAGAGCAACCTGAGCAACCCATATCTCTGCCGTTTTCACGTTTAGTGTTTGTAAGTTTGCAATCTTTGCCAATAGCTCTTGATTTAGGTGCGCTGCCATGCGGTACTGACAGCTCCAAAACAAGAATGACACTTTGAACGCGTGACATCGAAGTGGTCGCAAGCATGTATGTTCCAAATTTCAATCATCTGATGAACGTCCTTGCTTCCTCTTTGTGCAGCAGATCAGCAGAATCCCTCAGAAGTTGCCACCTCAGAGTTGCATCGTTTTGAAGATGCAATATGGACTGATTAATGGGGAAAACAAATCCTGGCGACATGGTTCTGTCCGTTGACGGTCAGCATTTGATAGTAAGGTTTTCAGAATATGGACTTGGGCGATTTCACATTCAGTGGTCTTGCCGAGGAATCTCCAAAGAATTCGAGCTGAACTTCCTGTCATCTTTACATTGGAGCGAGGACGGGGGTTAAGTGTGAAACCATTCGCCAGGAAGTTAGGCGGCAAAGACTTGATGGTTTGGTTGGCTTGACCATGAACTTGTTGTGGCACCACAAACACATCTCATGGACATGGAAATGGACACAACAGAGTAAGAAAGCACTTCCATGCATGCAATATTGTTTTTTTTGCCGTATTTTGGTAGAAACGTGTAGAAACTACTTTGTTCTTTCATGGCTGATTGCTGTGCAATCCAACTGTGGCATTTGTTTGTCATTGTCTCATCTTCGCCAGGAGGAAATGCTGTCGTTTGTCCCAATCAGCGGAGATTGCAGGGCAGCCCTGGTCTATTGAAACTGCAGGAGATTGCATTCCGATGTTTGGACTGTGCAACTTTGGATCAGCAGCTTGCCAACTTCTGACCACCCTGAGAACACTAGCCCTGACCGCGACCAGTCTTCTTCATGGGAGGCCCAAAGCTTCCCAATCCTGAGGCGCCACAGCACCTGCGCCCCTGAATTCTTCTTGCATGTCATTGAGCAAGGTCAGAGATGTGCATAAAGGGCAAGATCTTTTGTGCTGCTGGGTTTCTGTGTGTCAGATCATGAACGGCTCCAAGATCCTGATCTTTCACCTTTGCCAAAAGGAGGCAACGATGACAACCTGCAAAGAAGAATGAGGACCGATCTGCTGCCCAGAGCTGTTGGTCAATTCAATGTGATGCAGCTGTTGTCCAGGGCATGGCCACAGTCCCAGGACACTTCCATTTTTCAGCTCTCCTTAGACCTCATGTCAAATAGTGGTGGTCGTGGATAGGTTTGATGCTCGTGGACTCTTGGTGGGGCATACATTTTGATACAGTTGTACATTTTGAATGATTTTGAAATATCTTCGATTCCCCTAAATGTTGCAGTCTAGAGGCATCCTTTTCAGCATTGATTTAGTTAGAATACTGAATGACTTTGCTTTCCGTTGATGGTCCAACACTTTGCCCCTCAACGAAGTGCAAGGAGTTTGAAGGCCAGACTTGCAGCAAATACAGCTATCAAGGATACTGCGTCTCCTTTGCTTGGTGTTGCAGATTTGACTAAAGGCAATAGCAGTTCAATGTGGTTGTTGGCAAGTTAGGCTTTAACTCACTTGTCAGCATGGAATGTATGATTGAATAAGTGAATATCTTGAGCCTTGTTGGCTCTTCTGTTCAGGACTCGGTTCAGCCCTCACACATGAAGAAGGTGCTGATCCCAAGCTTGGCAACGCATTGAAAGTATATATTATATATGATAAAAACATGAGAAACACATCAATTCTGATTGATTGAAAGGAATCAATTCAGGAATTGGTTGTGTTTTCTAATTGATTGCTGTTGGATGAGTCTGATAGGTCCCCAAGACGCAGCTTGGTGACTCGCATTGCAGGCTGGTTCTGGCTGGTCATGGCAAAGCTGAAAAGGTGAGAAAACGGCAAAAAGCAAACGAGCAAATTTAAGAGTGTTGTGGCCAAGGATGGCCAGCCAATCTTTGGAAACTGTTCTTCCCATCTTTTCCCATCTTTGTGTAGGTCTCCTGCAGCGCCTGCAGCGAGGTTCTCGGCAGCTCAGCTTCGCCCAAGTGCTCAGTCACAGACTTTTTTGAGTGCTCAGTCACCCATGTCAGCTCCATATTCCGTTCGCCATTCTGTGGCGTGGCAATTATTGCTTTGACATTCTTGTCCATTCATGCCCATTCCAGGAGTGAAAGTTGGATTCTTGGTGTTTGTCTTTCGCAGCCATTTTTGGGTACAGGCCTGGCTCCGGGCTTCACGCTCCAGTGGGAGATGGGAACACTACAGCAATTCCTGAAGGATGCGGGCCTGCAGGACTTTGCAGGAGCTCTGGAAGGCCTCGGAGTCCAAACAGTCAAAGATTTGGAAGAGCTTGAGCCAGAGGACAGGGTTAAAACATGTTGGAAAGAAAGACGTTGTCAAGATTGAATTGATGAAAACTCCCGGTGTGTTTTCTTTTGTGGCTTTGTGCCTTGCACCTACCCCGCACGGCAGCTTCCAGGACTACGAAGAGATTGGCATGAAGAAGTTGCAGAAGCGGCGCTTGGAGCGCCACTTGGGCATGCTGGAAAGCGATGCTAAGCGACCACGTGTGGAGATTCAGCAGGTGACCCCAGTGCCCGCGGCAGCCGTCCCGGTGGCTCCAGTCACTGTCGCCCCAGTGGCATCTGTTGCCACTGTGGCCACACCAGTGGTGAACAGCATCGACGGGACGAAGGAGCCAACAGAGATGAAGGAGGCAAACATCCAAAAATCATTTTGCCATGACACAAAACAGCTTAGTCCACTGCAACTGCTGATTTAGATTGCGTGGTGTGACAGCTCACCGTCTGAAACCTTCTTCACACATCTCTTCCTTTAAAACAAGTGGATCCAATTGCTTTGCCATGCCGGCGAAAACACTTGTTCTCTGGCATGTTGGAGAGCCATCAACGAAAAAATTGCCTTTCTGGTGCAGGTGTCTTGCAAGTCGAGCGCAGTGGAGGATGGTGAGTGGGAAATGCCATCAGATGATGAGCTGATGCAGCACGTGAACAGCTTGGGCGAACAGGAGCTGATGTTCAGCTCGGTGAAGCTGTCGATTGTGTTTTCGATGTTTTATGTTCAATAAGCAACCTTTTTTGAATGGCAGGGTAGCATGTTCGTCAACTGAAGGACGTCATGGACATTGATATGGACATGAAGCAATTGCATCTTGCGTGGACCTCCGATGGTGAGACCATGGGTGCCCAGTTGATTGGCTTGCAGACTGATCTCCAAGATGACATGCATGTGGCAAAGATGGTGACCAACATTGAGGAGATCGTTGCACTTTGCAACAAGCTACAGCCGAAGAGTGCTGCGATGGTTCCGAAGCTGAAGGTGAACTTTGAAAAGTTGAGCCAACCTTCAAGCTGTTTCCAGGTGCTAGCGCTTCTGGGTGAGCAACAGGAGATTCGCAAATTCCTCGAGATTTTGGAGGTCCCACCGAAGACGCTAGCCATTTTGAATAAGCCTGGCCTTTTTGCGCTTGTGCACCAGCAACGGCTGTATTTGATCCTGTGGCCAGCAGCCAGCTTTCGGGATCATGCGCACCGCCGGCAGCTGATCAGTTTCATTCATTTCGTGTTGCAGCTGGCAACGGATGTCTTCTGGCTGGTGCAGCAGAGCGACTTGGATGGTGTGCAGACGGTTGGAAACTCTCTCACAGAAGCTGACACTTCCAGGACAGGCTGCCGATGGTTTTTTTTCCACAGTGGGCAGAAGGAAGTATTTGATCACGAAAGCTAGCGCTAGCTAGCTGAGTTACTCTTGCTTCAGCAAGGGGAGGGGCAGGTCTGAGTCCAGCACAGTGATTTTTCACTTGAACCCCCGGAAGCAGATGGTCATGGGCTCAAATCCTGCCAGAGCCGTCCCTTTGTAACTCTCTAGCTCAGGATCTGTTGATTTGTTGAGATGTTTTGCGACTTGCAACGGAAGCTTACATGCTTTTCGGGTGCGCAAGATGCCTCACCAGAACATTAGGATCGATATAGTTTTTTTCTGACTCGGGTCAAGCTTGTGTCGATTTGAGCCCCATCGAAAATTGTAATTTTGGATGGGGCCCAAACTTTACAGAGTCACCATCTTCTTTGGTTCAGATGTTTTACGACTTGCAACGGAAGCTTACATGTTGATCGGGTGCGCAAGATGCCTCACCAGAACATTAGGCTCGATATAGTTTTTTTCTGACTCACGTCAGCAGTGTGTGCTTTGAGCCCCATCGAAAATTCTGCTTTTGGATGGCGCCGAAGCTTTATACTGTCACCATCTTCTTTGGTTAACATGTTTTAAGCCTGGCAACGGACGATTACTTGTTGTTGGGATGGAACTCTTCCGCAAGATGCCTCACCAGAACATAGAGCTCCATAAGTTCTTTCTAAATCAGGTTAACACTGTGTCTGCGTAGTTTTGATCCCCATCAAACATTTAATTTTGGATGGGGCCCAAGATTTGCCCGGTACCAAGAGCTTCGAACAGTTTGGCAGTGGGCCCAATAGAATTCTTTGCTCCTTGGTCCAACCAAAAACACTTCTGGATAGGGCCCCAACTTTTTTCCAATACCCATGTTCTTGGCTTCACATGTTATAGGAATGCAAGCTGAAAATTACACCTCTTCTTTGAAACAATCTTGAATCCTTCCATATGGATCACTGTCGTCTACCCTTCCCTGAATGTTTCCAAGTTCAACTCCCTAGTTCCACATTCATATGACGTTTAGATTTCGTTCACCCCCTGGGCCTCAAGTGTGGGTACTGTTGTGTTTTGTACGGGTGTTGTCGTGGTAATGAACTGCCGGAGATTTTTCACACTGATCTTGCTTCGTCCCTGAGGAACATGGACATTCAAATCAGCATGAAGTCTGCAAGCGATGATGATTGTACGCTATCTTCGCATTTTCAGGCTGCACTGAAGTCGTCTGGTGCTGCAATCAGAGTTTTCAGCGGGAAGCAGCGCGCCTCTCTGAGCACCATGCAGGTTCAGCCAGCTGGTAGACACTCAAAGTCTGACACGAAGCAAGAAACAATTTTGAATTTCTTCCGCGACATCAAGGACACTCACATTGTGCATTTTGGAACAGAGTTGAAGTTGGAGGACTGCGCTGAGTTTTTGAAGGCAGTGGCACCAGACAAGTTTGAAGACGTAGAGAAGTGCCACGATGAAGCCAAGGCTGATGCGCGGCAGAAGCATCTTGACAGAGTCCATGCGATTGAAGAGAGTGTACAGCAGCAGAAGAATGATGTTTTCCGCAAGCTCAAAGAGGCCATCAAGGAGCAGTTTCTAGAGTATCATCCTCGGGAGTTCTTTGCGCTGAATGCGTCCGATGCAGAATGTGCTATTTGCCAGTCCGAGTTGCATTCCGAGTTGCTTATCTGTGACTAACCGACGACATTATTGTTGTCGCTTTGTATGATACACCAATGGTAGTAAACTAGAATTACCCAGCTACAAACTTTGGCTATGACAGCTCATTATGTAAATTGAAGTGATGACTTCCATGTTCTCACCTCAGTGGCCGTCCTCCAGTTGAGGCTGGATGCGTGGCCTTGCGCCTCCTTGCCCTGCGATCCCAGTCACATCTTCCACCATGACTGCATAAAGAGGTGGTTGGAAAGCTGTGGTGAACGCTCCTTTGCAGCAAACTGCTTCCTGCGTTACAAGTTACAACATCTTCAAACTCTTTGGTCCATTTTGTGGCAACTGAGGTCCCAGGTGCCCAAAGTGCAGGCAAGGAAATTTGCAGGGTTTGGGCCTGGAACTCGGAGTTTCAAGTAGTGCCCTGCAGGCATGAGTTTCCAAATCGACCGGTGCAAGACCTGATCTTGGCAGTGCCCTTAGAATCAGAACACTCCTAAGCCAGCAGCCAAACTTTGAGCTGTCAGAGACCAAGGACCTTGTGGACAAAAATGCCGCAACGGAGCTCTGCAGACAGCTGCCGAGCCAACCAGCGGCACACGTGCTGGCGGGCTTTTGGAATGTCATCAGCGGGCAAAGGTGCGCATGCCAATGTGTGCAGTTTCATGATGTTTCATGTGTGAAATACCATTGCATGACAATCTTTTCACTTCAGAGTTTTAGAGGTGGACGTGGCATACTTTGGACCACCTTATCATCGCCGAAGACAGCTCCAAAAATCTCAGCATCCACATTTCAACCGATCACGGTGCGACCAAGTCATCTGGACAGTTAAGACGAGGTATTGGAAGAGGCGAGGGGTTTTGGTACGCTGACCTGAAGTACCAATCGAACAGCAAGGTCTTTGGGTCGGTGCGCTTGAAAGAACTTGGGAACGACGAGGTTGATATTTGCTTCAGAGCTCCTCCTCTCATTAACCAAAGGCTTCCATGGAGCAACCCCTGTACAGTGGCCAAGGACCCGCAAGTAACTTTGCCAACCGATACCTTTACATTGGACGTCGCTATCAAGCAAGCAAAGTTGAAGATGAAGAATCTGTCAAGCATGTATGTCTTTGCAAAGGTGGCAGAGTCCAAGAAGTTGTTCGAGCAGAGAGAGATGGATTGGGCAGATTCAGTGCACCAGATGCTGATTGAGTCAGTTCAGAATACAGCTGCTTTCAATGAATGGCACAAAAAACTTGCTCCTCAGCCGTCATTTGCTCGCATTGGGAGTAGCAACGATGTAGCAGACCTCGGAAAGCTCAAGAAATTGATTCAGGAGGAAATCGGGAAAGGTGCGTTGAAAGAGCCACACTACATCAGAACGCTTCAGACCTACAAGGACCAGCTCCTTTCCAAGCTGGATGAAAGCATTTGGCAGATGTCTGAGCAGATGTTCAGCACATTGGGGCAGCAGGTGAGCTGTCAGAAGAAAAGAGAGCTGGAGGAGGATTGGAGGTGCACCCTGTTGCAGCTCGAAAGCAGTCGCAGGGATGCCTATTCCCTGGAAATTCAGAGCTTGGCGCCCGAAAATGCGATGAGTCTCACCCTCACGAAGCTGGTCTCCCGCGGATACTCTGGCAATTACAGGTTGTCTTACGAGAAGGAAGTCGAAGGGTCTCCAAAGCTCTGCTGCACCCTGCAGAACCTGACAGTCGAGAAGCAGCTATTCGAGCAGGCTGTGGCTGGCGAACATGAGTTCCAGATTGAATTGGAGACCTTTGCGGGTTCAGACTTCTCCCTTGATGTGCAGGATCCCGCAGATGTGCATATGCTCGGGTCCCTGACGCAAGACCGGGTGTTTTGGATATCTTCCCATGAGATTCCGTGTGGCGGTAAAGGGATCAAGTTTCATTGCCAAGCCAGGGGCCAACCACCCAAAGAGCTGCTGACCATCAAACGACCCGCCAGATCTGTTGCTTTCAATGAGACGCTTCGGATGTTGGCCCTGTACAATGAATCTTCCAAGGTGGTCGTAGTGTATGCATGGAACGAGGTCTTCACACACCATTCAGACTTCTGTGCCCCAATCCAGCTGGACGCCTACGTGCAAGATGCTGACCTGATCCAAATGCACTTTTTACCGGCCTCCAAGCAGCTCTGCTTCGTCCTCCGCAACAACATGGTGAAGGTCTATGAACTCATTGCAAAAACTATTCGTCCGCGTGGCTTCTCCATTCCACCACACACAAAAACATTTGTTGATTCTACAGGAGCTGCTTTGATGGTGCTTCGTCGAAAAGAGTCAGCTTGGGTCGTTGACGTTTTCCTTGTGGCTGACGGTCGTGAAGTGAAGACTCTTCCTCTTCCAGTTGCACTTTCAGAGGATGCTCCTGTGGTGGACATTCTGCGCCTCTACGGTGTAGATTTCCTGGTGGCTGTTGACGAAGCTAAGACATTGCATGGTTGGAGGTTTCATTTACAGACAGCAGAGCAAGTTTGTTCTATGGAACAACTCGGTGAGAAAGCTATGGAACCTGCAAAATCTGAATGCACAGGTGCAGCATGCTTTGACATTTTGTACCAAGTGCTGGCCAAATTCACCAATCATCCAGCTCTTGGTGGAGACTTCATGCGGCAGGTGACACGTTTGACTGTGGTTGGCCCCGCAGTTGAATCGAATGTTGGGGTTGCTGTGGAACGATATGTGGCAGGCATTGTTGGGCGGTTGAAACAAGAGACTCAGAAACCATCGTTGGATTCCTTAAAGTTGGACACTTGTCTTGCCTTGGCCATGATGACACTGTGACATAGGCATGTAAATTTCCCAGGCTCACGGAATGTTGAACTCTTCTTGCGATGGCTGCTGTTTGTTTCAGAGCACTCAGGACGTTTCCTATTGGCCTCTGAACCTCAACGAAGCTGCAGGAGATTTGATCTCAAGTCTCCAAGCTTCAGTGATCAATTTCTCCCAGTCCAAGGCTGAGTGAGTATCCACTGGTAGGACTGTGGTGCCATCTGAAAGCAGCAGAACAGCGCCTGTTGAAGCAATTCATTCATTTTGCCGAGGCTTTTGCGGAAGCTCATTTGCCTGGTGCCGCTTCAGATTGCCCGTGCAGAGAATGAGTCATTTGTGATTTTGAAAGATGGTCTGCGTGAAGATGTCAGCGACTTCAGCAGCCTCAGTGAGTTAGCAGACTTCATTTCGTTTGGCCTCTATGAGTTGGTTCTGGAAAGCAACGAGAACCCCGTAGTTGTCATCAGCAGCATGGGCAAACAATCTACTGGAAAGTCCTACATGCTGAACCATTTGGCAGGCCAGACAGACCGATCAAGAAACCAAAGAAGCCACAAGAAACGAATTTGCCACTCTCCACAAAACCAACACTGCTTTTTGCAGCCACTGTTTCTGTCAGGGACGACCTTTGACACTGCTGGGGGTCGCTGTGTTGAGCTCAGTTGGATCCGTCGTTCGGAATCGTGGGCTTTCACAGTCTTGAACGATCCTTGTGCACGGTGGTTGGCTTCTCTAAGGTACTGATGGTGTTTGGATGACAGTTCGGGAACACAGTAATGTGACCTATGTCTTGCTGGACTTTGAGGGCTTGGGGTCTTTCGAACGTTCTGCCCAAGAAGACATGCTGCTTTCAGCCGCATACTTAGACCCTGATTTAACAATAATCGGACTTCTTCCTTTTGAAACATTTCAAAATCAGTTGCCATATCACTTTTAAAGCTATACAGTACCCTGATGTTAGAGATGTCGTTGTCACTTTTTGGCTGCGCTTTAGCGCATCAGGTCTTCAATGCTGCCATTTCACACGTTTCGCTTTTCCGCACAGAGAATCGGCTGGACTGTGACACGGCGAGCATTTTCTCGCGTATGCAGCAGGGAGCCAAGCTCATTCAGGGTGATGCCGAGCTGTTCAATGGCTTTTTTCAAATTGTGGTGAAAGACGTGGTCTCTGATGCGAAGGAAGTTGCCCAGGAGTTCAAGCAGAAGATACAGCACATCATTGCACGGGACAAAGAAGACAACTTCTTTTTGCGCTTGTACAAGGGCCGTGCAGCGACCTCAGTTCTTAGCTACATCGGTTTTGTGGTCACCAGGGAATTCGCTGAACATTTGGAATTCGCGGCGCTGGTACCCTTCTTGCATTGTGTCATTTAAAGCAGCACAATGAGCAGTTCTGCGGTTCATCGTAAACCCTTCAGGTCGGCATCCTTCCCTTCCCAGCTTTGGGCCGAGCGGAGTTCTACAGGGAGTTCAACTCGCTGACAAGCAAAGTACGAGATGCGCAGGCATGTTTTGCTTTAACCCAAAACCACTTTTCCACCCAAAGACAAAACCGATTGGACAATTGCACGTTTGAACTTTTCTCGGAGCTGTTTCTGCAACCATACTAAAGATTGCGCTCCAGTGTTGGTTATCGGTCCCACGCAAAGCCATGATTCAGATTTTACCTTTGAAGGCTGAGAAACGTTGGTTTGAAAGCGGACGGCAGTATTTGCGAAACACGAAACTCCTGATGGCGAAGATTGCGATGAAAGACTGGACACCGACCGTCGCAGCCTCGGCCAGTCTCAGAACATGTCCTGTGACGCCACTGATGTGGCAATATAGCTGGCCGTTCCAAACTCGGTGTCAGTAACATGCCATGCTTGGAAAATTTGAAGGCAATTTTGTGGGGATCTATGAGTCTTTGTGCCCCTGCCCAAGGACCAAAACAAGATCAAAATGCTTCTCGCTAGCCTAGGGGAGTGCTTGGCAACAGCAGTCATGGCAGGCTGCATGGCGGTGACTGAGGACATTATTGGAGGGCCATGCCTCAAAGTTTTCGGAGCTCTGCATATTAGCTAGGTTAGGGCATGCCCATCCGCCCAATATTGAACAACCTGCCAACCCAACCCCAACACACAGAAAAAATCAAACAACCCATAACCCATAATCACCAAAAAAAAATCAAACAATCCCCAATCCATGAATCAACAAAAATAATTCTGAAACAACTCATCAACAGACAATTCATAAACAAAATTTTCAATGAACCCATCAACCAATATCATTCCATAACATTTTTCAACAAGATAATCATCTCAATAATTATCTTGAACAAAAACAATCCAATAAAATTATTCCATGAACATACCAACAGAATTATTCAATAAACCAATCAACAGAAATCTTCAACAACCAATCCCCCAAAAATTCAATCAGCCCATAAACCAAAATTTATTCAAACAGATAATCAAAATATTAATCCTAAAAATTATCTTCATTGTAAAGGGGCATGGTGTCCCTTGTAGGATATTGATATATCTAATGAGGATAAGTTTCACATGTCCCTGATAGAAAATGTGTTTTCTCATCTTTGGTGGTTTTACCGTAAGCTCTTTTGTCAAAGAAATACCCCTTCTATATCAAACATATTACAGTATGTCTTTATGGGTGTTTTCTGTCGACATCCTGAACTCAACAGCATCTATTTTCATCCCACCACTTCTTCTGCGTTGTTCTGTGGCTACTTCGCCTTTGGCGGTCTGCCAACCTTCTTCTTTGGGGTAGAAATGTGAAAATTCTCAATCATCTTGACGTCCCCGTTTCCATCATGACCATCGTCTGGCTCATCGCCATCATCATCTTCACTTTCGTTTGCGCTATCAGTCATTGGGTCTGTTCCTGCATCTCTACCTTTTTTTTTGCCTTTTTCCTTTTCTGAACCAGTTTGTTCAGAAAGGACGAAGTCTTTGCCCAACTCATTGCACCACTGCGGTCTGCAAAGCGATGGACGAGGACTAACTCCATGATAATCGGGAACACCTTCGAAGAAAGCGCAACCAAAGACTTTAAGTTTTCAACTTTGTCAATCTCCTCGTTGAAGACTTGGTCGGAAAGCTCTCGAATTCTGCTCTTGACATTGTTGCTACTGCTTTCACTCAAATTGTTGGTGTAATCCTCTAAGTCTTTGAGTGGGTATTCCTGCAACAAATCCGCGAGAGCCTTGCTTCCCGAAGTATCTGCTTTCAACTTCTCGGCGTTGCGGTTGATGGTGCCCTGAATGACTTCAAAGACATTGCTGGTTACTCCACCGTCTCTGGTTCTGGTAGAAAACGATTTCAGAAGGTCATTCAGAATTCTAATCCTCTGTGTCTTCGTCTCATACCTTTCAGTTCCTTCTGTGCCGTCATCCTTCTCCCTTTTCTTGGGCGCACCACCTTCCTGTGTGATGAGAACACACTTTGGGCTCGTAGGTGTGTTGGGGTTGTCGCTGTAATCTTCACTTTCGCTTGTAAGCATCCCACAAAGATTTTCTTCAACCTGCGGGAGTGTGCGAGATGGGATGTAACTTGTTGCGAGTGGCTTCAAAATAAACAACTTTACACACACCACTTTTTTTGCCCCCCCCGTCCTTCATGTGGAAAGCATGAGCTGACAATCCAGTCTTCACTTGCAACACATCATAGATTTCTTGAAGTGTCGTGTCTGCACACACATCCATGACTTGCGACCCACTAAGGGTTCTGACATGAAGTGGGAAAACTGGTAACCCTGACATCTTGTGGTCAGAGAAACACAGAAGGGTAGCGGGGAAATCCTGCAATCATTTGAGCATTGACAATCGCCCAACATGTCATGCGCCAAACATCAGACCCGCAAAAAAACACATGCCATGAAACCTCCAAACCAACATGACCGCCATGAAACCACATGACATGAACATCAACCAGAACCCAACACAACACAAAAACAAATGACATGAACCATTGTCCAAAAAGAACAACTTGTCATGAAACCACATGAACACAACCAAACCACGTGACATGTCTCAACCCTACTATCTACATATCTCTAAGGATAGCCATGCCCATCCGCCCTATACATATATCTATTCATATACTTGTATCCTGCCATGTGTGTGGGGGTTGTTGCTGTATATATAGTTCTGGCTGGGGTCAACAATATACATATATAGTAATAATATATATGTATGTGGTTGGGTGTGTGTTTGGGTGGGTGGGGTGGTGAGAAAATCAGTTTAATAACGCGTATGTATCATCTGTTTTTTCAATCCCGTAGTAGTCTAATGTCATCTGTTTAGGTTGTTTGATTTTCCCTGCAACTATCATGTCAAAATATTGTTTGCGTTTGCTGTCGTAATCGTCCTTTGGGCGTCCGATTTGTTTTTTTTTTTTTCAAACGCTTTGCTCACTTCCTCTTTGACTTCTTCCTGAGTTTTTGCATCCTTGCTGTCCAGTTTCTCCATGATTTTTTGAAGGGTGTCTGCAATTCCTTTGGTCTGTTTGTTCAACTTGTTCAGTTTGGTTATCATTTCAATAGTTTTGTCAGTATTATCGGTATCAGACATTATATATATACAATAATTTAGAAAATTACTTATTTTTCAAAAAAATATTTTATTTTTATTAAATATTTATTTGTGAAAAGTGATTTGATGAAAATTTACTCTTTAAGTGTGTTTAAACCATGTCATTCATATTTATTTCTTTATTCCTTGGAGTTCCCATGACATCACTTATCATTCTATTAGTGCTTTCAACTTTTTTGTCTTCAGGGGTGACTTGACGATTCCACGAAAAGCTGATGCTGTGGTCTTCGCTTTCTAAAACTATTTCACCGTTATCATCTCTACTCACATTCATAGTCTTATCGTTTTTACTGATTTTGAAGCTACACGGATTGCATTTACATTTTATACCTTTGGGGTTAATTTCAATTTCATTTCTCAGTTGCAACTTTCCCGAACAGATAGGACAATCAAAGGTAATAAATTTACTTGATAGTGTTTGTTCCTTATTCAGATTTATTGTTGTGGGTTCATCATCTGAAAGTTCAAAATCTTCGGGGATTGGTTGCTTTCAAAACTTACTTTTTGGTTTTTGTTTCGGTTTTGGTGACATTTCTATTTATAGAATATTTTATATAGTAAATTACTACTTTTATAAATTCAAAAAGTATGATACAGAATTGTTTGACTTTACTATTCTTTATCACAGGGGATTGATTGTTGTTTGCAACTCTGTTTTCTATCAAGTCTATTGCATCCAGATATTCATCCATTTCATGCGTCATATTATTATTAGATAATATTTTCGCTACAATCTAATAATAGAAAGCTATAGAGACGAGCCGAGGGGTGTGGGGAGAACCTCAAAAGTGCTTTATGGGAACATTTTTATGCACAGAGATTATGGGTGCTGTGCTTCTCTGAAACTAATTACCTCTTATGGGGGCAAAATGACAACCTGTCCGTAATCTTACCATTTTACCTGACCCCATGTCAAAGGCAAAATGATATGTCATATTACAATATATATTACAAAAATATTTTCTAAATATTCCGAAAATTGAGCCCATCAATGTAAAACAGTATGAATTCAAACAATCCCCATACCCACAAGCAGATAAGTTGCCTTTTAGGTCAATTATTGTTAGCGCATCACAGGGCGGGAAAGGTATTTTGATTCAAAACTTAGTTTTAAAAATTACAGGGGATGCTTTGAGAGAATATACGTTGTGAGTCCAACTGCTCACATTGACGAAGCTTACAAAGAAATAATCCGATAGAGAAAGAACTCAAAGTGGATAATAAAAAAGAACAGTATCTGTTCGACGAATACAACCCTGAAAGTTTATCGCATATCATTGACACACAACATAAGGTGATAGAATAAATAAAAATAAAAATTAAAAGAAACAACTTTTCAGTTGCCTATTGATTATTGACGATTTTGCAGAAGACAAGTCGTTTATGAGATATTCAAAAATCCTCCATGGTTTATATACAAAATCAAGACACTTTGGATTGTCAGTAATCACTGCATCTCAAAAGTATAATGCACTTGCTCCTATAGTTCGTTTAAACACATCGTCGCTATATATTTTCAAATTAAAAAATATGGCAGAAGTTGATGCATTTGTTCAAGAACAATCCGCACTGGTTGATAAGAAAACCGTTTATGACATATACAAACTGGCAACAGAAGAACCCTATTCATTTCTATTTGTAAAGTTAAGGGAGAGCGATTTGAATAAAATATTTATGGTTCGGTTTCAAAAAGAGATACATATTAATCAATAATATTACTATTTAATATTATTAAATTAATGAATAACTACATAAATTCATAGCAGGTAGTTTATACATAATCTTATCGCTTTTCTTGTCTTCTATTTCCTTCAGTTTATTAGATATTTCTTTTATTGCTTTTATCTGAAGCCTGTCTATATTACTGATGTCTAAATCTTCTTCGTTTATGTTGCTGATTTCATCCATACAATTATTTTTAACCGTAGATTGTTTATTACCCATTATATTTTTGTTATACATTTTAATTTTCTGCTTTTGCTTTTGGCTTTTTCTTTCCTTTCAATTCCTTTATTTCTTCCATCATTTCAAACATTGTTGCTTCTAAATGCTCTATTTTTGATTGTTGTTGTTGAACGCATTCCCACAACATTGTATTTGATTTTACATAATTCAAACTCTTAATACCATCAACTTCACATACTACATTTTGAATTTCAGTTGGCACATTTTCTTCAATAGTTTCAGCAATAAACCCTATATGGTTTTTATAAATATTTGCTTCTTTTTCTTTATTCAATTTAAAAGTTTTTGGTTTGATGTTTTTTACAATGCTTGTAAAATCATACTCTGCTTCTTTAATATCATACTTTACCTTTTCTGAACTTGTATCGATAAGGTCACCTTCTAAGGTATAAGGTGCTGGAACAGAAACTTTTGATGGTGTAACAAAAAGTCTTACGCTACCATGAGCATAAAA